GATTTATATTAAATAATAACACAAATATTTTCTAATAAAATATATACCTGATTTTCAGCAAGCCATAATGCATTTAAATTAAGTGCAGTTATTGTGATAGGAAGATACTGCAATCTAAATTATAATAAACATATTTTAAAATTAGATTTTTTTTTTTAAACCAAATTATTGTATTACAAAATTTTATAATAGAATATATAAATTTTTAAAGTAATTTAATGAGATACTTTTATAATAATGTAATATAGACATACCTACTGTATATATATATATATATATACAATTATACAAGATATAGAAAATAAATTTGAAACTATAGAAGTTATGTTGATCTTTGTTTACTTTACAGGCAAAGCATGGTGCTGAGTAGAGGAATGAATTCAAGTTATAATATAGTGATGGACAGCACGCTAATCATTTATTACAACAAACTTTTACGATATAAGTGTTAAATTACACACGTAATTTAACGCTTATATCACATCGGACATGCTCCCGGTGGCCCTAGCAGCGTTGAAGAATTGTCAAGCCTCAACCAAGTTCCCAAATATGGAACTCTCCGTTGTTTCAGCACTTACATCACAACCGCAATTCACGTGCACTAGAGGAAATTATGTCAACAGCCATAATGTAAGGCGCTACTTAGAAGCAAACAATTTATGGCTTCTAATCTCGGATAAAGAGAAGAAGTTTGTGTTATGTAAAGAGAAAGATTTTCTAAACAGAGCTACTGACTTTCTCAACCATTCCTGTGCAGTACTCCTACAAGCTGATCCAACTTCTACTGTCCTAAGAAAGGTTAGAAAAATAATATCCCTTCCAACAATTTCAGCTCTTCTCGGACGAGTTGATCCCCCAATGTAGCTTGTCCCAGACTCTTTTTTGAGGTTAAAAAGCATAAGGAGGGCTGGCCACTAAGACCATTAGTTAATAAAAGGACACACCCTGCCTTCCATCTCGAAAAAGCCCTAGCCAAGTTATTAAGTGGGCTCCTGCCTCCCTCCCATCTGGTTACATCTTCCTCGGTTGCAGCGAAGACCCACATATCCTCTGTACTGGACCACATTCCACAAAGTGAGTATACATACTACAAATTGGATGTAGTTGCCCTTTATCCCTCAGTGCCGCAATTCAAGGCAGTTATGCTAGCTAATGCGATGCTAATCAAGAAAGGCTTTACAGCGCAGGAGGTATTAGAATTACGTGAGGCTCTACTTTTCATTTCCGAAAATAATTATTTTCAATTCAGGGGCCAAATATATCTACAGCAACAGGGAGTCCCGATGGGTTCAACACTTTCAGCGGTTATGGCGGAGTTGATCATGAGAAACATAGAGTTCAAGATGTTTAAATTTCCTATTACGATAAAATATCCGCTTTTATATCTTAGATATGTTGATGACATTCTTGTGGCTTGGCAGGACACCCATAAAAATTTCCTCGCCTTCAAAGACCGTCTCGTGACCACTTATCCCACTATTACTTTCACCTGGGAAAAAGAAAAGGAAAATGAAATTGCATTCTTGGACCTAAAAATTAATAAATCCTGAAATAGCACTACATACTCCGTATTCCACAAATTCAGTGGTGTACCTCCTCTAATCCCGGCTACGGCATATCAACCGCAACGTTACGTTAATGCGGCAATTTCACCTTTAATAAGAAGGGCCTTCCTCTTATCATCCAACCAGGCGGCTATTGACACCGAACTTAATATTATCTGCCAAGCGATAAATGAGGCGGGTTACAGCAAAGACAAATTTAATTACATCTTAAATAAGGTAAAAACATCACTCTTTCCCGCCACCACACTACACCGTCCGAAGGAGTCCACAATAGTCCTGCCCGCAATACCATTTTCTGGCCGTGTCACCCTCCGTATTTGTCATATTTTTAGGCGACATGATTTGTTTCTACCGATCTCTCCGCGGCCGAATCTTAGGAGGTTACTGTCCAACGACAGGGATCCTTTATCCACCATTGAAAAATCGGGGGTTTATTCAGTCCCATTAGAGAATGATTTAGGCGGTCGCACCCATTATATTGGTGCGACAACAGAATGTTAGCTAACCATATTTTGGAGCATCAACATTCCATCAGGGACGGCAAGAATGACACAGAACTCGCCAGAATGGTACTACAACACAAGCATACCCCTCTGTGGAATGATGTGGCCATACTAAAACATTGCAACAACAAAAATCTCGTATACATCTGGGAAGCTCTCATCACCAACGTATTAAGGCCCTGCAACATCCCCACACTGGTTTTGCCCCCTTTGTGGATCAGCTTGTACAGTTATATAAAACATTGCAATTAAATCCACAATATAGAGGTGTCAAGCGCATGCGCAGCATAAACGCACGTGCTTTTTATTTAAATATCTTTTTTATATTCTACCGTTGATGTTATTCCAAAATGTTAATTAAGATTGGAATGTTTTTTAAAAATTTTGTATTCAAAAAAGGTTCTTATATCTTCTAATGACCTGAAGAAGATGAAAGTGTGTATCGTCGAAAGCGCTTGTCAATTTAGTGACATACGTGTGTAATTTAACGCTTATATCGTAAAAGTTTTTTGTAATGAATTCAAGTTATTTTGATGATGCAAATCTTAAGTGAACATAAAGTAGCCAAAAAGTTTAACAGGATGTATCCAGTTCAGACTTCCCACCAATCACACATAGTCTGGATATACATACATACATACACATACACTCATGCATTACTGTAACTAGGATTAATAAAATGTACCAAAATCATGTTAAACAGTATACACAGTTATCAATACCATTATAGTCAATCTACTAATAAAAATTATCTGAAAGTATAAATATGTTATCATTGTGAAAATTTAATATGCAAACAATCAATATTGATCAAAATTTCATTTATTAACTATTGCTACTAACAGATATTCTAATTTGATAAAATCACAATTAGAAGATTTATAAGGTTTATTTAAACTTTCAAGAATAAAACCTGTACTTCTTAAAATAAATTCTTTTGACAGAAATTAATTGAAAAATTGGCAAAGCAATGTACTCTATTCTTATCTGACTTATATATAAAGTCAGCAATATTTGTAAGAAAATTTTATATTATTAATAAAAGCTGTTGAGAAGTTATAATGAATATGGAGGAATATAAATAAATAAATAAATAAAATAAAATACTGGAAGGCAACAGAATTTATCAAGTATTTAACTAGGATATTAAATTTAGAAGATGTAAAACAATTCAAAAAAGCAATTCGTCAAGAAAAGAAAAAAAAACAAGAGTAAGACAACTGGAACATCCAGTTGTCTTAATCCAGTTAATATTATGCACTTCTACACATTTCCAATAAATCAGGGATGGTTTACAGTATAATAGCTACATGGTGTGTTGCATACCAGAGTTCGTGGACTTCTATGTTTTGCTGTCCTCAGCTCCACTGGATATCTAACTACAGACATGTGCTTCTGGTCTAGCAACACAATTTGTTTGATATCAAGCTGCACTGAGTAACCACTGACTGGAATTTGACTATAAACCAAACAATGTTGTTGTCAACTTCACTGACAGCTAGCAATATTGCAATTTCATACTGCTGTTGGACTATAAACTAGTTTTCATACTCAGCTTATGCTTTTCAGTAAACCTTGATATTTGAATACTTTCCTATTTATTCTATAAACCTAGTACATTAACAATTTTCTCTTTTATCTCAAACTAAAAGAGGTTAATAATTTAAAAAAACTAAAGGAAAAATAATTTGACAAAAAAAAAATACATTCAAGAACAAAAATCTTTTCAGGTCACTAAAAGAAAACAATTTGACAACTAAAATAAATAAGAGAAAAATAAATCTAAATTAAAATCATAAAAATATAAAGTTATAGTACATATAAGAATATTTAAGACAATTTTTTAGTATACAATAACACAAAAGTTTTACTTTTAAAATAATAAAAAAATTATCTTACCTATTTCCAGAGATGTCTAATACTTTTAAAGAAACAAGACTTCCAACTTCTGATGGTAAATCTTCCAGACAATTATCTCTTAAAGAAAGTACACCTAATTTGGTAAGTTTTCCTATTTCAGAAGGAAGGTTTGTTAACCTGTTGCGATCGACATTTAAATTTGTTAATTTTGTTAAATTTCCTATTGTGACTGGTAGTTTGGTTAATAAATTTTCAGTAAGAATCAATTCCTGAAGATTTGTACAGTTTCCTATAGCAGAATTTAATGTATATAACTGATTTTGATCCACCTAAAATGACAAAATTTATTTTTAAAATTTTAAAGCATCCAAATTAATAGTATTTCATTATTCAATAAAAGAAATTTTAAAATATTTTAACATAATAAAAACTGTTTCTCTAGGTATTTCAATTTATCATCATTAACAATTATATTGCATTACCTCCAATTAAAATTTAATATAATTTTTTTTGAAAAATTCACAATAACATTACTTTTTTCTAATAGGCTGAACATAAAATGAAGTTTTTCACATGTTAAAAATCCTGATAATGTAATTCTAGTGAGACTTATGGCAATATTTAATTAATGTACCATACTAATTGCCCCCCAGGTAGGGAATCAAGCCTGGACGTGGCGAGGGGCCTAGCGGCAAGAGGAGACAGGTACTGGGATCCCAAAAGACTTGTCTTGGCCTTGATCGCTAGTGGAGTCTTATGACTCGAGCCTAAGGTTCCAGAGGTGTCAGAGTATCATAGGCTTTGGGTGGCCGCGTTTCTTTATGCAGCGCTCGAGAAGCGCTTTACAGCGAACCCTCTGAAACCCGTTTCTAAATGCAGCGCTGCAATGTAGCGAACCGTTTCTAAACGTTTGCTGCAAGAGGTCGCTGCAGCGAAGATAAAGCAGCTTTTACGTCCGCTACACGTGTAAAGCAAAATGGACGCTTGTGTGTATAATACGATATTATGCTGTAAAAATAAAAAAGTCGAAGTGACTGTTGATAAAAATATTATGGAAAGATTAAGAAGGATTAAATTTTATGAAATGACTCTGAAAGTTATCTAAAGAATAAGAAAATACTATATTTTAAATATAATTATATATCTTTTATCTCTTTACTTTGTTCACATTTATGGAAAGATAAATGCTCGATTCTTTATATCTCTTTATTTAAATATTGTAGTTCTTTAACTAAAGCACTATTTTCGGCTGTAACTGGAATTAAAGGATAGATTATGACGTCCATGTTTCGCTCGAGCGGAAAGCGTTTCTAAACTATGATGCAGCGACGTGTAGCGATAGCTGCTCGTGACGTCATTTACGCTGCACTCTCGCTGCATAAAGAAACACAGCCGGTCTGTGTACCAAGCCTTTTTAAAGCTTGCTGTCCGACTGTCGTTCTTGGTGGGGGACGACCCTGGCGGGGTTTCTAACATCTCCCTAAACTAGAACCTATCCCCGCTGAGGCGGACGGCTACTAGAGCTGCAAATTGGCATTGTGTCATGCAGACTCACACTAAAACAGAAGGGAGACTAGTGTGATCGGGGCACGGGGCTATCCTTAATAGTATCGGCAATAAGAGGGCCAAAACGAGCCCTCAGTAAGTCCAAAGCTGGAGAATGGTCGCTGCAGCTGTTACCAATATGGTTCCTAAGGAGGACTTGTCTTCGGATGAGATATGCAGAGTGTAGTCGTTTGGACTTGTCCAATGCAAATTGGTTGTCCTGCCGACAGAAGTGTAGGCACTCATTATCCTGCGGTATGATGGTACTTGATAGGAGCGCTGCCAAGTCATGGTAGAGACTCTCGCTTCGACAAACGGTCCTGAGTCCCCCTACTTGTGATGCACATTGTATATTGGGTCGATGAGTTACGTCCCTGATTACACACATAGAAGCACACAGTGGGCGCCGAAACTTCTGGATTCAAACCCCGTGTCGGAACAGAGACTGGAGGCCATGGATCCGACAATCCGCACCCTCTGGGATATGAGACACACGAAGCAAACTCCTGCATCCACCTGATGGCACGGGGCCGATGTTTCCCTTTTACAAGGCAGTTGAATGCAGTCGACTTAGCCTTAGTCCATGGTAACGCAAACCACGTAAAGCTCCTTCAGCCCAGTGAAAGAAGAATCAGCTTCCCAGGAGGAAGACCTGGGCTTTGCACACCCAGGTGCTGGCCTGGGGGCCATGGCCTGCATGCCGAAACTTGTGGGGCAAGAAGTTGCACTCCCAAGCCGAAGCCTTGCTGGTGGCCAGGAGGATAGCACTCTCAGTGGATTGAGGGATTCTGCTAGCTGATGTCTATCCTGACGGGCAGTTGGCAGAGCCGCTCCTCAGCATAGGGGCAACTTCCGCTATGCTTGGGGGGGAGCGGTGCTCAAAGGCCTGACGATGCGTTGGATGGCCATATATGGTCCCAGAGAACTGGAAACGGGAAGAGCGTCTCCAAGTAGGGATAATGGGGAGGCCCACGCCGAACAACCAGCCGGGCTGGGGCAACCTTGGATAGGAGGCCATTCAAATGGGTAGCTGTCCCAGCAGCGGGCCAAGCAGTGATGACCCGGCAACAAGAGGGCCAAAATGGTCCCTCAGTAAGTCCAAAGTCAGAGCAGGCTCTTAAACACATACCCTGATTCTCAAACGGATTCAGGGCACCCGTGAAAGGTTGGGATTACCCCTACCCTACCCTCTTTTATAATTTCTTTCTATGGTTACAATATGAGTGCAAAAAGTGAATGCATTAAGGGTGCTCCAGGTGCAATTGAAGAGCAGACTGAAGCTGAAACTATCATGCCTACCAATTGTCTCGAGATAGAAACCACGACTGGTGCTGACAACACCAAGTCGTTGGAGAGATGGGTCTTGCAGAAGTGCAAACCCGCCAATGACCAAAACCAAAAGCCTGGAGGCAACAGGCCTGATATCATTAAGGTTTCCATACCTGTGGAGTCGGGGAGCTCTGACAAGGACTACGGACCAGAGGCTTTTAACACCGTATCTTCCGGAGGGGAAGAATGGCAAGCTGCTCCTGAGCACAGAAGAAAGAAAAGGCAGGGGTGGCCAAGGCCAAAGCGGGGAAATCAGATGGCATAAAGCCAAAAGATAAACCTGCAAAAGCAAGGGAGAAATCTCCAGCCAGAAACAAAGGCGGGCCTAAAGGCAAGAAAAAGAAAGGCCCTACCGCAACAGCAGCCGAGAACATAAGTTCGGCAGTGGGTGAAACACCGTTGTTAGTGCCCCCTAATCAGAAGGGAGAAGGACTTGAAACAGTTGAAAACAGTAGAACTGCTCTAGACGAAATCCACCAGGAACTCACCGTACTCCTGGGGAAGACTGACACGCGATGTCAGAAGTCTACTTGTGGCATCATCTACAATTTATTTAGCAAAATGGCAGGGATCTTGAATGCCCAAGAGGTAGAGATAGCTTCCCTCCGAGCTGAGAACAAGACCCTGCGGGAGCTAGTAGGTGGCCAACAACCACAGAAGACTCCCATTGAGAAATGCAAGGCACCATGCACGGACCATGCCACGTATGCGGCCGTAGCAGCCCGGCCGGCCTTGCATGTCCAAGAGGGACCAAGGGCGGCAGCCAAGCTGAAAGAGGGCAACAACCACTGAGCATACGCTCTTGGTGTACCCTTAAGATCAGAACATGAGCAGTGACAGTACTCAGGAGCAGCTCAAGTTGTACATTGATCCGATTAAGTTGGGAGTCGGCATCAAAAATGTTTGGTAAATCTGTAATAATGGCATCCTGGTAGAGGTTTCGAAGGGCCAGGCCATCGCCAAACTGTCTAAAACCATGACAAAAGGCCCAGTGGCATTGAGGTAAGCGGTCACTTGCCGACTGCCCCAAAAGCGACGGCCAAGAGTCATACTCTTTGATGTTAGCCCAGACATCAAAGGAAAATGTCTCACGGAGACCACCCAGTTGCAAAATAACATTGAGGCACAGCCTGGGGAACTGTTGTCTTGTTTCCCTCTTAAGGGGAAAGAGGGCCTCGTGAACTGGGTGATTGAGGTCCCTCTCACGGTCTTCCGTGCTCTCCTGCAGAAGGGGAGAATCCATGTGGGTTGGATGCACAACTGGATGAGGGAATACACAGCATGGACCCGGTGCTACAGGTGCTATGCCTTTGGGCATGTAGCCAAAGGCTGTACGGCGGACAGCCAAAAATGTAGCAGGTGTGCCGATGATCACTCATACAAAGAGTGTAAGGCGGCCAAGCTCAGATGCATCAATTGCACCAGGGCCAATAAGAAATTCGCCCTGCAGTTGGGTACCAGCCATTCAGCAATGAATGCCAACTGCCCGTGCTATGTGTGGGAACTTGAACGAGTTCGGGCCAAAACAGACTACAGTCCATCATAATCAGGGATAACGACTCACGTCTTTCTCTACACACTTCAGAGACGAACGAATGACATGGCTGCAAACTATCACAGTTCAACACTGAAAAATGCTGTGCCGCTACCACCCAACTAAGGGTGGAAGTGGTCGAGCGGGATATTGACATCATCCTGCTCCAAGAGCCATATCTTGTACATGGAAAGGTCAGTGGTCTATCACTACAATGGAGCGTTTTTACCCAAGAAGGTGACGAATGTCGTGCCACAGTTATCTTTACACGGAGGAATGTCGACACTTTTGCCCTCCACGTTTCGCCACTCCTGGTGGCCGTCGAAGTATGGCTGCTCGCTTGCACGTGAGTTGTGGTCTCCAGTTATCGCCCGCCGTCACTTAAACTGGAAGGCCTTCTGACTGAACTCAAAAGGGTTATCCTGCCCCATAGTCGGGTAGTCTTGGCAGGCGACTTTAACACCAAGCACTCGCTATGGGGCTCCCCAATTGACGATCCAGACGGGGACATGATGAAGGAAGCGGCAGAGAGTTGGAGGATGCACGTCCTAAACGATTCGTTTGGGATTGCTACCTACTCCTCTCCATCGGGTGAGGGCTAGATCGACCTCACGATCGCGAGTGGGGCTATGCTAAGACAACCTTGCAATGGGAGACTATCGACTCAGAAAGCTGTAGCGACTATCGCTTCATCACCTTCAAAGTGATGTGCGGCTCATTTGCCTGGCCGAGCAGTTGCTACAGACTTACTGTTGGAAACCGCAGTCAGTTTGCCAAATAACTCACGGTTAAGACGGCCGATATAGTCACACAAGTCTCTAAGGTCGAGAGTGTCGGGGATCTGGAGGAAGTTGTGACCAACCTCACCAAAGAGGTCAGAGAAGCAGGAGACTGCACGCTTGCGCAGCGGAGGCCCAACAA